ATCAACTTTTATATGTTTATTTATGGGAAAATTTTTTAAATTATCTATAAGTTATGAAATTAATTTTTTTAAATTAATTGTTTAATTTTTATCTTTATCTGTAGACTATAAAGTTAATTTTCAATTTTTATATGTTTATCTATATGGAGGAATTTTGAAATTCAAATCTTTATCCATAAGTAATGAAATTAATTTTAATTTTAATTAATCAAACAAATAGAAAATGAAGAAAAATAGAAAACATGAAAGACAATCAAAGAAGGTTGTCACGTAAGAAAGAGAGAGTTTTAAAATTATAAGAATTTAGGAATAAATATTTGGAGGTTTTGACAAAAACAACTACATTTGGTTATATATAGTATAAGTATAAGTATAGATGAACACGTGTGTTATGAACTTAAGTGTTTGTATAATTCCAAGTGTGTGATATTTGTTTTGTTCATTTAAGTCCCCACAGCTCATTGGACGGTATTTTGTATTATTGATTGGCTTCTGCCAGCTTCTTTATATTGTATTATTGTCATTATTGTAAAACAGGCCTTCGGTAATCACGGATTACTGGCCAGTTACGACGCTAAACCTATAGGGACGAGTTTGGGTCGTGACATTTTCCCAGTAATCAAACACACACGAATTGTATAACAGCTTCACAACTAAAGCAAATCAATTCATGCGATTATTAATAGAAATGCGAAGACGAAACCTAGAACACAACTTATCTAAAATACACGATTCAAAAAATGTTAAGAATTTTCAGCATAAGGCAAAGCTGTTAATGAATCAACAGCAACACAGCCGAATAAGTTACATCTTATTGGCATATTGTCAAACACATGGTATGTAAGGTATAACCCTATGCTAACAAAAAAACAAAAACACATGCATATCAAATCAATACAAATCTACAACCGTATATAAATCGAAATCGAAAGAACACACACACACACACACACACACAAAAACTGGAAGCCATGACAGTATGATATACAAAAAGAAATCTAAGGTTTTTAACAATCTATGCAGTTTGAGATGAATTTGAAATCATATACAAAGTAGGTATGATTCGTAGAATCAGCCACACTGAATTCTTTGGACAACATATAAATCATTGCTTAACAAGCAGCGTTGTTGGTTGGATAATTTATTTTGAACTTGGGTTCTGTTACACGTAGCGTCACCCAAATGGCATAAGGTTAAGAAGACACGTATACCAAAAAATTGGAAAGAAGAGAAGAGATATAAAAGACATATAAGTCAGTTCTTTGGGCAGAAGGTTATATCGTGAGCACCTAGTGTGCATTTATGATAATTTGATGTGTTAGATTCACAGCACTTGTATGCTTTCATTCTTTTATAGAATGTTATAGATATAATAATAATAAAAATGGATAAATTACACTGACTTTTTTTGATATTTGAAAAAAATATAATAAATTTTACAATTTTCTCATAATTATACTACTTTTTTTTATTAAGATTGAAGGGACCGGAACTAATATAGATGATGTGAAAATACAATACCTTCTTAGTTCAAGGGTCCAATTCCCCTTCAGTCTGGAAACATATTGGACGGTGTTATTGGGCCGCGGTGGGTCCAATTTTGTGCCCATCTTGATGATTTGTGTAGAGCTCATTGAGTATGTTGTCCTTTCAAAGAATCGTGTGAATCGAATATCGATAGCCACTTGATCAGCTTACATTTATATCTATAATTTATTTTAAAAATTATAATTGTCGTTGAAACAAATACAAACTGATTAAATAACTATTGATATTCGATCCATGTAATTTTTTATAAGAATGATATATTTAAAAAGTTCTATACATCAAATGATTTAAATTATCAATATAAGCCTGGAGTTAGCCCACTATGGCCAACAACGCTATCCAATCTGACAGGAGGAAAGCTGCGGCCTTGGTACAATTATACCACGAACGGAAATGAGCATGGGACAGATCGTTGACTCAGTTATTGTATCACACCTGCATGTTTATTTTTAGGGAAATGCTAGAGAGCTCTAAATCTAGGTTCTAATTTGAGTTCTAATGATGTGTCAAAGCAAAAAAAAAAAAAAAAAAAAAAAAAAAAAAAAGGCACAAACATCACATCAGGATGGGTCCCACCTTCCCATTAGAGCTATTAGAGCTCTAAAGCATTTTTGTTATTTTTATATGGTTTTGAATAGAAGATCTGAATTTAGATCTGTAAATGCAAACAATCTCATTCCCTATCTCAATGAATTTTACATATAAAGTTTCCAAAATTGCTATAAAAAAATAGAAGAAAGAGTAAGAAAAGAGGTCTCAATATGGAGCTCCTAGTAACTTTTCCTTAAAAGTTTTTCTCAAATTCAAAATTTTTTTTTAAAAAATAAGTTTTTTCTCAAATTTAAATAGCAATGATTATGGGTCCATTCAACTCGCGCCAACCCGATTGAATTGACCCAACCTGATTGATTATGGGCAAATGCATATTCTTCGGTGGATGGATGTAGATGAAATATTTCAAAATTCGTGGATACGATTCGGATTGTGGATTAACCATCTCATACCCGCATGAATCCGATCCATTCGTAGATGGAAAAAAAAAAATTTTGTTAACGAGTAACAATATATAATAGAAAAAATAAAATACATATTTTTGTGAAAATAAAAAATAATATCTAAAAAATATACATTGTGGTGTCATGGCCTATAGACAAATAATACATATTTTTTCAAATAACTAGTTATTGAAGATTGTAAAAGTTATGAATTATAATTCAAAAAAATGTCCAAAATTTGTAAATCCAAACCGCCAAACCGATCGCATCCATCCGCCAACCCACATGGCCCGCCTAATCCACGTCCGCCAAACCAGTGGACAAATGCAGATTGATTTTTTTCAATCTACCTAATTTTGAACAGATGGCGGATGGGATGCCACCCAACCCAACCCGATCTATGATCACCCTTAAATTTAATGAAAATGATATTTGAGATAATTGATCAAATCTGTATAGCTTATCACATGTTCTGTTTTAATGATTTTGCATTCATTTTATAAAATTCTTTATATGTATCATTTATTTTATTTTATTTAAAAAAAAAACTAGTTGAGTAATTTTACAAATTTTATTTGATTGCTTTTGTTTCTTAAAAAAACAATTGGTGTACTTTTTTTTTTTTGTTGGTAAATTACAAATACACCTATTGAGATTTGTTTAAAATTGAATTATTCCTTATGGTTCTGTACTTTACATCTCGCCCCTTTAAATGTCAAAAAAATATTTTTGAATTTGTAAAAATTATTTATACTCACCAAAGATAAAATTATGTAAAATTGATAAATCTTTTACACATTTATTTATTTTACCAAATTATTTTTTATTATGTGTTTGGATGATTCTAATGTAATGAATGGTTTTTTTTATTTTCATTAAATTAGTTTATATTTTTTTAAAAGTCAAATATGGCGATAATTTTAATATTATTATTAAACTAATCTATTAAATCAAAAAATTCAAAATTAAAAATATTTCATATATTAAATATATCGATTATACATTAAAAGTCTAACAACAACCTATTATATGATCATTATTCAAACACGTAACAAAAATTAATTTGGTAAAATAAATAAATAAATGTGTAAAAGACTTTTGAATTTTACATAATTTTATGTTTGGTGGATAGAAATAATTTTTAAAAATTCAAAAATATTTTTTTGAAATATATTTTTGTTAAATTAGTTTATATTTTATCAAATTGATAACTTTGTCCTTGAAATTGAGCAATGATATTTTCAATTGTCCTTATTTGAAATAAGATTCAAAATTCAGGGTCAAATGTGTCACAATTAAAAAGTTAGGGACCAAAATAACACGAACTCCAAACTATAGGGACTGTTAGTGTAATTCGCCACAGGTTTTAATCATGTCATAAATTTATTTTAATTAATAATTCAAGTAATTTTATTATCACACAGGAATGCAATTAGAAAGTTTGTTTTTTTAACTAATTATGCTAAATCAAAAATTATGATGAGAGGCATTTGTAATCATATATAGGACAATCAATATTTTAAACAAATTTTAAAAAGTGTATTTGTAATTTTTTTGGACAAATTTCACCTTGGTTTATTTCCTAACCTTTAGAAATTATAACTTAACTCTCTTGTGGTTTATAGATTGAAGTATATTGTTGAGTCCGTTAACGATTTAATAAAAAAAATTAAAATATTCTTATATTTTCATCATTTATTTAGAAGATAAAATACACTTCAACCTATGTGCTTTATTTCACGTGTGATTACCCCATTAAAATTTAAAAATAAATATATAATTCTTTTATATTTATCACATATTTCACGCTTATTATTAAATTAAATCAAATATTTAAGATACACTTTCATTCACAAATTGTGCGCACATTATATAATTTTTTAACAATGATTCATCCTCCCTTTTCCTCCCACCCCTTTGACCTCCTCTCTCTCTCATTGGTGACATTTTCTTTTTCTTTTTCTTTTTTTTCCTACTCCTCCAATCACCACCCACCACGTAACGAGGGGTGAGGAGTGACCCCAGAAGGGGTCCCAAGCAATACTCATAATTTTTTCAGCGATGAAGTGAAGTTTGTCTTCCTTTTTTTATTTTTTTTTCCCAATAAATTGAGGGGCCCGTGCAAACAAATCACGGCCGTTGATTCTGAATCACCATCAACCACCACCTAGAGAACCCTCCTCTGACTCACACTCCCTCCGCCACCACCGTCGCCGCCACCACCACCACCGCCACTGCCACCACAGCACTAGGTTTCAGCCTCATGCATCGACTCAACTCTACACATTCAACAATGTCAAGCATGGACTCTCACTCTCTTCTCCTTTAATGGGTCTCTTCCAATTCATCTCCAAATTGGCTTCGTCTTCAAATCCCAGCTCATCCCTGTTCTTCTTCAGAGCTTGTTTGATCCACAATCTATGTCTTCCTTTTTTTATTTTTTTTTCCCAATAAATTGAGGGGCCCGTGCAAACAAATCACGGCCGTTGATTCTGAATCACCATTAACCGCCACCTAGAGAACCCTTCTGTCACACACTCCCTCCGCCACCACCGTCGCCGCAACCACCACCGCCACTGCCACTACAGCACTAGGTTTCAGTCTCATGCATCGACTCAACTCTACACATTCAACAATGTCAAGCATGGACTCTCACTCTCTTCTCCTTTAATGGGTCTCTTCCAACTCATCTCCAAATTGGCTTCTTCTTCAAATCCCAACTCATCCCTGTTCTTCTTCAGAGCTTGTTTGATCCACAATCTATCTTCCAGACCTTTCCCTGATTATTCAGCCAAGAAACCCACCATCAGAGACTCTGAACTCACCAATCAAATCACCACCACCATCAAGCAACGCCGCTCCGAGCCTCTTCGCCGCGTTCTCAAACCCTACGAATCGAAATTCAAACCACACCACCTCATTTGGGTTCTCATCAATATCAAGAAAGATTACAAATTGGTTTTGGATTTCTTCGATTGGGCGTGCCTTCGAAAAAACCCATCAATCGAATCCCTTTGCATTGTCATTCAAATCGCTGTTGCTGCGAGAGATTTGAAAACGGCAAGGAGACTCATTTGGGATTTTTTGATGAAACCCAATTTAGATGTGAGTGTTGTGTTTGCTCATTTTGTTGAAAGATTGATATATGTTTATAAAGATTGGGGATCTAATCCTTTTGTATTTGATATTTTGTTCCAAGTACTTGTTGAATTTGGACTGCTTGATGAAGCTAGAAAACTCTTTGATAAGATGTTGAATTATGGTGTAATTATGTCTGTTGATTCATGTAATTTGTTTCTTTCGAGTCTCCCGAAGAATGATGTTGGGGTTGAGATAGCATTAAAGATTTTTAGTGAATTTCCTGAAGTGGGTGTTTGTTGGAACACTGCATCACATAATATTGTGATTCACTCACTTTGTAGACTAGGGAAAGTAAAAGAAGCTCATCAATTGCTCATACAAATGGAGTTGAGGGGTTGTGTGCCTGATGTTATAAGTTATAGCACGGTAATTAACGGCTATTGTCAAGCTGGGGAGTTTCAAACTGTGTTGAAGCTTGTAGAAGAAATGCAAACGAAGGGGTTGAAGCCAAACCCAAATACATTTAACAGCATTATCATTCTTTTATGTAAGATTGGCAAGGTTGTGGATGCAGAGATGGTGTTGAGAGAGATGCTGAGACAGGGAGTACTTCCGGATAACGTGGTCTACACAACTCTCATTGATGGTTTCTGCAAAGCTGGGAGTGTTTCAGCTGCTTACAATCTGCTTGAAGAAATGCAGAATAGTAAAATTATTCCTGATTTTGTAACTTATACTGCTATTATCTCTGGTCTTTGTCAAACTGGAAACATGGCTGAAGCAAATAAGCTCTTCCATGAAATGCTTAGTAGAGGGATGCAACTTGATGAAGTTACTTATACGGTGCTTATCGATGGTTATTGCAAGGCAGGTGACATGAAACAGGCCTTTTTACTTCATAACCAGATGGTTCAGATGGGGTTGACCCCAAATGTCGTCACTTACACTGCTCTTGTTGATGGGCTTTGTAAACTTGGGGACGTAGATGCAGCGAACGAGCTTCTTCACGAGATGTGTGCGAAGGGTCTAGAGCTGAATATTTGCACCTACAACTCGATTGTCAATGGTCATTGTAAAGTGGGAAATATTGGACAAGCAATAAAGCTAATGGAAGATATGGATGCGGCAGGGTTCCATCCGGATACTATTACTTACACTACTCTAATGGATGCATATTGTAAATCAGGAGAGATGGTCAAGGCTCACGAACTCCTTAGAGAGATGTTGAATAGAGGGCTTCAACCCACAGTTGTTACATTTAACGTGTTGATGAATGGGTTCTGTATGTCTGGGATGCTTGAAGATGCCGAGAGGCTTCTAAATTGGATGTTAGAGAAGGGTATAATGCCAAATGCCACTACCTACAATTCTCTCATGAAACAGTACTGCATTAGAAACAATATGCGAGGGACCACTGAAATATATAGGGGGATGTATGCTCAAGGAGTGATGCCTGATAGAAACACCTATAACATACTAATAAAGGGGCACTGTAAAGCGAGGAATATGAAGGAGGCATGGTTTCTACACAGAGAAATGGCTGAGAAGGGGTATAGTCTTACAGTTTCTTCTTATAATGCGCTGATCAAGGGTTTCTTTAAGAGGAAGAAATTTTTGGAGGCAAGGAAACTGTTTGAAGAGATGAGGAGAGAAGGGTTGGTTGCGGATAGAGAATTATACAACATTTTTGTTGATATGAACTATAGTGAGGGGAACATGGATATCACCCTTGAGCTTTGTGATGAAGCAATAGAGAAATGTCTCATTGATAAAAGCAACCAAGGAAATACATAGCTTGATTTATCAGTGATGCTTTCTTGGGAAGTTGGGATTATTGTGGGAAAAAAATTTAGTTGTCCTTGCTTGGGCTTTGATGGTGTGATTCTGTGGCCTACTGACGTACCCACAACCATGGTAATTTTTTCCCTTTGTTTTTTGTCAATCTGTACACTGGATTGCTTGTTTCATACAGTACTGTTGCTGAACAAATAATCATTTATTAGTTTGCGGCAGTCTAAATGGTGTGGCTCTGTATATCTCCGAACATTATGCTATGGGATTGTCATATATGTAAATATATGCGTGTGTGTCAATACATTCCATGTTTGGAGTTCTCCAACAATCAACACACAGTCATGGAAAGAAAAACATCTAAACTCTCATTTTTTCGTATTCTAGGAGCATCTTAGATGTTATTATCTGTCCGTCTATCTTCTGTTAATCTTGGCTGTGATTTTTTTCACAAAATCATGAAAAGAAATTTATCCAAACAACCAAACCGATACTTTATTATGTTACTTCTAGTTTGAATTATCTCAATAAATATGTTTTTTTGTTTCTTCAACCTCTTTATTTTGGGAAGTGGCTACTTTAGTTGGCCTTTTGACTTTTTAAGAAAAGACGTGCAAAAAAGTAGAGAGAACAGTCGACTTTTTGGCTTTTGGCTATTTTAGGTGCTTGCCAAAACACTTGCATATACTTGTCTAAACTAAGCTTCAGTATATTTCTCTCTTCTAGGCAATACTTCTGCTAAAAAAGACTATGACCAGGCTACAGCAACTGCATCCCGAGTATTGCAGGTACTGATACTTAACAGTGCATGCTCACAAAATTTTCATTTAATGTGATTTCCTCTGAAAATTGTTTGTCGGCACTGCAGTTGGGATTGGTTTTTGGCTTGTGCTGCCTGTAATCCTTGCAGTAGGATTACATTTTGGAGCTAGATTATTTACAAAAGACGCCAATGTGTCCTCCACCTCATCAGTACTGGCCTTGTGGTATCTCTTCTCTGCAAACAATAAAACACTGTTACTGGTTATCTGGCTCTGTTAAACCAAGTTGTATTTGATCCTTCATATCAGTTTGTTGCAGCTATTCAACAAATCAATCCCTTGGCCTTTGTCTTTTTATTGCGTCATCAATTTTGGAGCATCGTATTTTGCATATTTTGGCTGTTCTATGGTAATATAGTCAGCATCTTTATATCATGAAGTAGCACATTTGCTTCTATTGAAACTATTTCCTGATGAAAAAAGACATGAACAAGAAAAATGTTTAAGAATAAATTATTTTAAAAAAAATCATAGCTTACAGTCGCCTCTTCTAAGTTCTAAGTTAAGAATCAGGATGACTACTAGTATCCTGCCCTCCCTGTTATTTTTATTTCTAACTTAATACTAATAGAATAGAGGCACATATGGAAAAGATTATCGATGAAGCAGATGAAATAAGACAATAGATTAAAATAGTGACGCTGGATGGTAGAAGAGATTGAACGACCAAAGGAAGAAGAAGAAGAAGAAGAAGTTAAAAGTGTCCTCTATTAATAAGAAGCCTTGTATTTAAATTATGGGACACCACGAAGGTCCAAATATGGAAATAGACAGTAAATTCCAAAAACAAAAAAAAACAAAATTATGCTTTTGTGTTCAATTTAGCATAAATGTGAAATTTTTAGTTACTTTATTAGATTATTAAAGCACGAACTTGAGATTTTTCTTTATTCAGGTTCTGGTGGCTATAATCACTATCTTACTTTTGTCCATTCTTTCCCCCAATCATGGATTCATTGGAATATAGGATGCTTTGACCATCTATACGAGTCTCAGAGCATTTTCTGGATTTTGGAGGTAATTGCTTGTGCCACATAATATTCATTTAGGCATAAAACCTTTGAAGAATAATCCTACTATATGTCAACTTGGCAATTGTATGTCTTTCTAAATTTACTGTTCCTAAACACCAATAATGCAGGATTGGGACAGGATCAGGACCTTGGGGCTTTCTCAGGAGCTGAACATGCATCGTTATGGTTTTAGCATGGCTTGACTGGTTTTCTTGAACAAGTAACTTGTTTCCATGGTTTTCTTCTCATGGAAACTACTTTTGAAAAATTAAGAAAATTTCATGGTCTTGTATCGTTTGTTGTTTGGTTGCTTAAAATATTTTCACATTTGTATGTTTCTTTTGTACATAAACTAGTTGTTTCATAGTAACAGAAGTACAAAGAGATATATGAGCTGCTTCAGTGTTGCTTTTGAAGTGGGGCATTCAGATACCAATACATTTTCAGTGCTGATTGTGGTTTGGGGCATTGAGGTATCCATGCATTTCAACATCATAATCGTCAAGGAATGTAGCAAAAAAAAGGAAGAGAAAGACTTAAATTGATTTTCTTCGACTACATGATGTATCTTTGGTCTTTGATATTGTTGGTCTAAATTTGTTTTTTCCCGTATTTTCAGACTCGCAATTCCTTTTGCCAAAAAAAAAAAAAAAAAGAAGAAAGGCAAAAGCACTACAACAAGGGTACAGCCACTTATCCCAGGTATTGTTACCTGTTAGTACTACAATTATCTACAAACCGAATGATCTCGTACTTCTTTCTGTGTCAAAATTTTCTCTGAACGACTTATACTTACAGTGGTTAGATCTTGTCCACCATTCCTTTCAAACCTCAAGCTAGATTTCAGTTTCCAACATGACTCTTTGTTTGAACCATACTTTGCACCCATTGAAGTACTATGATTTTGAACAGGACCTGTTAAGACATGTAATGGCGTGGGAAATTTTGTGCAAGGTCAAGACTCAAAGTGGTAGTTATTCATAGACAGTCCTGAAGAATGTGAGAATTGCCAATAACTAAACAGCTGAAGGTGGAATTGCCCGGAATCTTTGATCAGGGGGTGACCTGTAAATATGACAACATAGCCAGAAAACAACTTTCACACCATGTCGAACCCCACAAAACAGTGCTATGAGTAGGCCTAGTTGTAGTGTAGAAGTAGCTCTTTGTACTCATACCAGTGAAGGTTAATAAAATTTATTATGTTAATCTTCAATTCGCGTATTTTTTTGGGTCTGCACTTGCTGTTTGATAGTCATATTTTTTAAACAAATCATTGAACCACACAATTGCTTTCTTCATCTTCAATGGTCTGTTGAGAAAGTTCTCTCTTATCGGCATTGTTGAAATGTCCATGTTGACAATTTAGAGTGAGTAGTTTAATATACTCATCCCAACGTTGTTGACAGTCATTTATAATTATATTACATGCTGAATGTGTCTGTTTTGTCATCGTTTCACACATTCATCTGGGAAGCACATACAATTCAAGCATACCTTTAGTGCCCTTTTCAAGAGTTGATCTGTTGGTTCAACTTATCATACTTTCTCTTTAGTGCCCTTTTCAAGAGTTGATCTGTTGGTTCAACTTATCATACTTTCTCATGCCTTAAATGACTAATTCAAGTTGCAAAGGGAAATATGCATTTGAGAGAGAGAGAGAGAGGGCTACTTTTTGGTGCAATATTTTAACGTCTAAAAGTTAGATAATCAAAAACAGAACTAAAAGGATTCGCTTCCCAGCTTCTCAACTATTTTTGTTTCTTCAACATTTTCTTTGTTTGGTAAAGGGGAGACTTGCAGAGCCGGTTTTGTCCAATTTCTCCATCCCCTCAATTGTAAACATAAATTGTACCAAATATTTTGATATAAATTCTCTAATATTTTTAAGGAAATGTCATAAATAACCTCAATAAATTGTACCAAATTTGTCCATATGTCTGAGTATTGTATTTTCAGTTGATGTAAATGAATGGGAAGCAAATCTGTTCAAGTTTTGACCCTTTCTGTTGTCAAATATATAATTTTCATGTATCGACACTTCATTATATATATATTATTTATGAAGGCATCATTTTAATGAAGATAGTGATTGGATTGATGTACCTTTGGTCGGTTTGAAATCAAAGGTTTGGTGATTAGGTGAAGTATGTTTCTCTGAAAACTCAGTTTAACTTAAAAAAAAAACTACAATAATTATAATAAATCACATCTTTTAAACTTTATTTTAAAGACTTGATTAACTAATCTTTATTTTGATTTTCTTTTCAAGACCTTGTCAAAAGTAGGGGGCTACTTGCCAAGCAAGCTACAATGAAAACTTCTTTTTTGGTTGGATTAAAAAATATAGTAAATGAAATTTTTATTTATTTATTTTTTTTTTAGGTTGGATTAAAAAAGAAAAGAAAAGAAAAGATACTAAATTTTATCTAATAAGAAAAAACTCCTTTTTTTAATTACTCAAAAAATTTATTCATATGTAGGTAATTTATTTTCCTCTTACTTTAGGAGTTTCTCTACTCGATACTTTAAATTTTACTTCAACTTTTAAAAAGACAAAAATTGATAATTTATCAAGTTAAATCGTAAGAGCCAAATATCTTGACATGGCCTCACCTCTGTCTCTATGATTTAAGGCAATTTGATGAAAATGAAAACCTTTCAACAATTTGATGAAGCAATTATGAGATGCGAGAGATGTAAACTTTATACAATAAATTACGCATATCAAGTAGAGTATATAATAAATTACGCATATCAAGTAGAGTGTTTCTGTTTAGAGATCAAATTTATAAATCTCACTTTGCTACCAAAGCTTCTTACAAAAATAAATGAAAAGAAAATTCAATTTTAGAAGCTTTGAGTAGAAAATTCTCTAAATCACTATATGCTGGCCCCCACAAACCACAATGAAATTAGAATCACCCACTCCTGTAAAGGACCAACTAGTTGAGAGAGTAGTGGGTTCGCATCAAATATGGGTACATGATACCTTAAAAGTCCCATCTCTCAAAAATTCATTCCTCTCATCTCACATCCAAATATCAATATCTTGATCTAAACACAACTTAAAGATAAAAGATAAGATTTGAAACGAATCCAAAAGCAATCCCTTCAACACACCATTCCCACTATTGGGATCCACCTATTACACATGCATGCAACACACATGCTGATCAAACAAGGAACAGAGAAACAAACGCATGAAAAAGGAAAAGAAAAGCAAATGAGAGTTCAACCAAAGATGACAAAAGAATAAGAGGCATATATGAAATTTTGAAATATTCATAACGATAAAAACTTTAATTCAATGTTACATCATCAAGGAACCAAATGCCCCACAACCTCACTTTCTGCCTCCAACAATAATTCATTCACAAATGGTACACATCATCATCCTCATTTTTCTTGCTTAAACAGAGACCTAGTCAAAAGAACCAGCAGTGCAAACTCCAACCCCACCCCCCCCAACCCCAAAAAAAAAAAAGGTTAAACTAATATAACCCCCAAATAGGAAATTTATATGAGATTATAATAATTATATGAGTTAAAATGAAACCTAGAGCTCCTAGTTTCATATCAATGAAACATATAAGCTATTAGCTATTTTAAGAACCAAAGAACTGGGGGTTAGAAAAAAAAAATGTAATCTAAATTTCAAAATCTGGAAAATAAAAAGCACCTAAACTGAGTTGGATGTTTGTAAATGACCCAGATAGGCCTCCTTGTACCTTCCTGACTCTCGAAATAATATAATATAATTAATAGATAAAAATGAATTTCCCTTGCTCTTAACTTTGCCCTTGCTCTTAATCCTAATGTAAATTTTCCTTTTTCTCTTGAACTTGCTCGGTCAATATAATTTCACACTTACTAAGCAACAATTTGATCAAGTTGCATCTGCTCTAGCCATGCTCCCAAAACTGCATGATCAAGTTTTTCATTTGAGTTCAAATCGGAACCCTCAACCGACGATGTAGCACCTGAGACTGGTAAATTTGAAGTTTCTTTGATCTCCGGTGGTGATTCTTTCACCAGCGACTGAACCCACGACAGATCAGGCTCCTCCCCATTACGTCCAACTGAAAATGATCTGCGAACTCCAGCCAGCTCATCTCCATTAACAGACCAATCTACTTTCCCATTTGGGGAATCCCAATTCGACAAAGAATTCACAGGAGAACCAACAATCCCTGCACCTTTGGATCCAAGAGCAGATAGTCTAGGGCTAAATGGAGATTGCATATCAATGCCTCGAGGTGACATCCTCCCCGGAGATGAAACATGATATGATGATGCCTGCAAAAATGGGTGATCAACGTTCTTCGGAGAGTACAGATTTGTGTTGTTTGGAGATAAAACGTTCTGTTGTTGCTGGAACTGATTTCGAACCACAGCTTTATGCGATGGAGAGAAAACTGCTGGAGGTGCAACCTGATCGGAAAATCGAGGAGATGAGACCTCTGTGGAGAAAAGCTCATCCAGGTTTGAAGGGGTCAGGGTTTTTGACCGAATGGGAAACTTTCTAAGATGTGTCGGCGAGAAGCACGACATGTCATTTAGGAGCTGCTGTTGCTGAACTTCAAAATCTAGCAGCATATTGAGCTCCTCGGTGGGAATGTCCCTGGCATTAAAAGATGATCTCAGACGACTTGTCTGGAGATTGCTTCCAGGAAGATGTAAAGTAGGGATGTTTGGCTGTGGCCAAGCAACAGACGGGTGCGAAATAGCATTTCCAGAAGGAGATATGGGTGCTGAGGGAGAACCAGGCAAAAGGCTCAATGCCACAGCCATATCCATGACAGTAGCAGCAGAAGTGGACGATCGGGGGGATGGAACAGCCGACCCTGTAGACATGTATAGCGGCCGGAGTTCCTCAGATGTGTGAGCAAAGAAGCAGACCCGACGAGCGCAACTTGTGCCATCTTTGCAGAGGCGGGTCCTATACTGTGCTGGGTGCAGCCAGCACTCAAAAACCCCATGAGCATACTCACACAAGTCCCCACGTCTGCATTGCCCCTTACGAAAATCTGGACAAGGCACACAACTGTAATGAAACTTTCTTGGATCTCTTCTTCGGGCATTCTCACCCGGATGAACAAAAGGGCACTCAGTCCAATCATGAGAATAGGCTCGAGAACAAGGCCGGATCTTAAACGAGAACATTCGAAATTCATCAGTAGAATAGACACTGTTCTTGATGTCTGGAAGAGAAGGATCAACTGGATATTCTTTCTTCTCTGGTGCAGGAGATGCATGCATATCACTGAGCGAAAAAAGTTTTAGTGATGATGTTGAATCCTCGACAGAAGACAAGGGATCATATTCTGGGGATGATGAGGGGGTTGATGAATTAGATTTCTCACCACTTAAGGAGACCTTCATGTCCGGTAGATGAACATAATCATCATTCCTGAGGAGCTCTTCAAGGGCATCTTTCAAGTATGGAAACTTCAGAGGAGCAACAATAACATCAATAGGGCGATGACCATTGGCATCAATTGAATTGCAATCTGCACCAGCAAATAATAACAGCTTGACAACATCAATAGCATTGACAGATCCACTAGATGCAGCACAGTGAAGGGCAGTGCTCTTATCCGGGCCGCAAGAAAGATTTACATCCGCCTCGGATAAAGAGAGTATTAGTTTTACAACATCAACACTGCCATACATAGCAGCAACCATTAACGGTGTCCGATACTCAAGTACCATCTGTTTTGATGCTCTTTGCCGACAATACCAGAGTCCCATCTCATTGATTGAAGATGCAATACACAAAATAGATTGCTTGAATCCCTCAATGTCATTGTCTGCAGCAAGTTCCAGCAAACTTGAGAAAGATATTTCTATCTTCGGTGTTCCTGTCAGGTTAGGCATATCTTTAGTTAACTTTGTACTCTTGGGGGAAGAAGAAGGCAACGGAGTGTCGGATCGTATCACCTTTGGTTAACCGGGAATCAATCTGAAATTATACAAACCAGTTGGAGTGAGAAACCATAATCTAAAAGAAATCCATACTAATCCTGTCTAGCACCCAAATATTCTAATCTAGTAAAATCATTATTTCTGAGACGAATAAAGATACAACAGATGATGATTCTCCAGCATCAATCCTCCACCCAAAAACTAAAATAAAAAGGAGAATATTTAACACTAATCATGAACTCTAACAAACTTATTTCCAGTATTCAAAAAAGGCATCTCAAACAATGACTTCTAACAAAACATACATACAGAGACAGATAACTAACGTCTATTTTTAAGTCCAAACCTACGTACATATATATTGAGTACTTAACTCGGGTTATGAGGTGTATTGATTCTCATAAATTAATTAATTTTTTTTAATAATACCCATCTAAACTTAGAAGTACATAGTAAAATTAAAAACATTAAAAAAAAAAGATTCAATATATAACACAAAGATTCAAAGGCACGAAACAAAAAATGGTAACAAAAATCGACAGATAAAGCAATAAAAATCCCAAAATCGCTCTCTTAATGGATAGATCTCTGAAAAAACAAGTCAAAATCTAATTTTTAACACATGGAAGGAAAGAGATTCGTGTTCCAAACCCTGAAACTCAAGAGACATAACAACAACAACTTTGATCGAAGTAAAGATAACATTTTTACTGTTAATCTATTTGCTAATCAACACAAATCCAGGTTATATAGACAAATTTTTCTTTACAATCAAGAAATCAACACAAATAAAGTCACTCAAGAACTGAAATAGCATCAAAATCATTCATCAGAAAGTTAAAAATCAAACAGAAACAAACTCATAAACACAAACATACCTAGAAATTTGCCCAGACTGAATGAGTGAAGAGAGAGAAAATCCACAAAAGACAATCTGCACTGAACTCGAAAAACAGAAAATCGTTCACCGATCAGCGAAGAAGAGCAGAGCAGACCATCGCGTCGAGGACGAAGACTCCATCGCCGATGTGAGGGGAGGGGGGGGGAAGAGAGAGAGAGAGAGAGAGAGAGAAATGTTGTTTGAAATTAGGATGAAATGAAATGAAACGTTAATGGTATAGAAATTCGCTCGAAATTCAGAAGACATGAGAGAGGAGGAGTGACTGGGAACCGGGTGAGACGGTGGAGAGTGGAGAGGGAGTGAGGGGTTGAGAAAGTGAGGAGTAGGTGGGTTTGGTGACTGGATAAAGCGGTCAAAATGTGTAATTTCAGAGGGAGATTAAATTGGATTGGAATTGTGAGAGTGGCGTCCGCCAATCGTAGCCCTTCGATGAAGATCATACTGGCGGATGTCAAGCACTGGTCAATTTTGATTTGTAAGACTAGGGAGTCAAACCCGAGTAAAATGCCCAATAATTTTTTATTTTTTATTTTTTATTTTTTTTGGCAAAGATTCATTTTTATAATTTTTGAGTTAACAGGTTTGAGTTTGGCTATCTTTGATTTTTAGGCCGATTTTGAGAAAATGTAATTTTTTTATTATTTTCCTTTTTTTTTATTCAAAAAATAATTTGGGAATATGGAAATAAGTACCGTTTTTACTTCTTTTTAAAATTATTTTAATATGTATTAAATCACTTGCAAATTGGTAAATTGACCATTACCCGCAGGCAATTTTTTTTTCTTTTGTTTTTTTGTTTTTTTTGTGTGCTTGTTTTACTCATACATGTGAGGGTATTTTGATAATTTGCTTTGTTGATTTATTTTTAACTTTTCAAATGGTTTTTTTGTTCAAATAAAAGTTAGCTTTGGCTTTTTAAAAATAAGCCAAAAACAAGCTTTTTTGTTTTTTCCAAAAACAAGCTTTAAAAATTAATTTGGTGAAAGAGGATAGTAGTAGAAAAAGGAAAATATGAAGTGTGGTGCATAAAAAAATTGATGAACAAAGATCGATGATCAATTAATAGAGTTGTCTAGTCAAAGGAAAAGGCAAGGAAATAAACATCAGATAAAAGATCCGATCATAAAGCTTGATTTAATTACAATGTTGACAACTACTTGACGAATTGAATCTTAAATTTTAATCAACACGTAGTGGTAGGAAAATAATAGGACAGAGAGTTAGGACAAAAAAAATAAGGACATATGACTCCAATCCTAAATTTATAGCTAAAAGGGACAAATTATCGAAATTGGAATCATTTCAAAATTTAATTATTTAAAAATGAAAAATTCAAAGGTTTTGTTTATTACAATCTAGTAGTTTCTTCTTCTACTTTTTCACCTAACATATGTTTGGTTTGTTCTGTTTTTCAAAAAATAAAATAAAAATGAAATTGTTCTGTTTTCCATTTTTTTAATATATTTTTTTTATTTTGTAAATATACCAAATATAGATACACTAAAAATATATAAATATTTGTGAAAAAAGTATTTTTAAAAAATCACCAAATATTGTATTCAATGATTTTTTTAAAAAAATGTATACAAAATTTATAACTTTTAAACATTTAAAAAAACGCTAAAACTACAAATTAAAAACTCATAATATTCTTTTTTTTTTTTTAAATCCAAACTAAACAAAGAACATAACTAAATCAGATAAGTGTATCTCCAACTCTACAATAATTTTGTCAAATATTTATCAAATCAATAAATAGTAATTTTTTTATCAATTTAAAAACTCATCAAATTTGAATTTGACAAAAATTTTAAAAGATAAAACATTGGAAATAATTTGATGCAACGATAAATTTGCCATTGGAAGAAATTTTTTAATAAGATTTTAATGAAAATTTGGCAAAAGAATTAGAATAATTCATATTAAATCAAAAAAAAAATTGGATCAAATTTATAATCAAACTAGATAATAAAATTTATGAAAAATTGGAGACACTCTTAAACATATTTATATAGATATATATATATGTGTGTGTGTGAAACAATATGAGTGAACTCGTATACTTTATAATAAATTCTATCATGTAATGTGTAAGTGATTGGTTCGATGTAACAATATTTTTGGTATGATAAATATTTGTTAGGTCACATAAGTGTAAGGCCTAGTTTGGCAAGACTAAATAAGTGTACTTTTTGACTTTTTATGAAATATGGGTTGGGTTTGGGTTGGGTTTGAAGTGATGTGTTAGAGAGGTGATGTGAGATAATTACCACAAAAAAAAAATCTTAAATTTTGAGTTTTATAGCAAAATAAGTAATAGATTTTAAATTTTGCCAATTTAAATTATAATATTTTGATTTATTTTTAATTTAAATATTTAATTATTTTCGTTAAGTAAAATTGACTGAAAAATAAAATTTTAAAATGTATAAAATATATTTTTTTATTAAATTTAATGATTAAAAGACTAATTTTTCATGACTAATTTTTCATTGGTTTTATTTTAAAAAAAGAACAAAATAATTTAAATTAAAAAATAAATTTTAAATTAATATAATTTATAATTTATTTGGTTACAAAATCAAATTTTAGATTTTTTTTGAATTTTTTTTCCGGATAAGTGTATAGTAATTTTTTTCAATTGGGCGAACACAAGGCAACCGATGTTCCAAAGTATACTGTAATTACTTTATACACAATGGAGAGCATTTAGTATACTGTAAATTACTGAATTTTTCATGACTAATTTTTCATTGGTTTTATTTTAAAAAAAGAACAAAATAATTTAAATTAAAAAATAAATTTTAAATTAATATAATTTATAATTTATTTGGTTACAAAATCAAATTTTAGATTTTTTTTGAATTTTTTTTCCAGATAAGTGTATAGTAATTTTTTTCAATTGGGCGAACACAAGGCAATCGATGTTCCAAAGTATACTGTAATTACTCTATACACAATGGAGAGCATTTAGTTCCCAAGTATACTGTAAATTACTGTGTATACTGTAATTACTCTATACACAATGGAGAGCATTTTAGTTCCCAAGTATACTGTAAATTACTGTGATCCTCTAGTTTGCCCTAAAAAGTTACATACTCGACTTTGCGAGTGAGCGCTGAGACCATTCTTCTTCAGCCTCCAAGAAGGCCGTTGCATTTGCTATTGTTGGTTCAAGATTTGTTGTTGTTTTTTTGTTTGGAGAGAGAGAAAATGGTGGACATAAATATTTTCCGGGAAGATTAGGGTCACAATCCAGAAATTATACGCAAATCTCAGCGCCGGAGATTCGCAAACGTCGATCTTGTCGATGAGGTCATTGCTCTTGACAAAGAATGGCAACAGGTAACTAAATCTCTCTCACGATTATTTAAAAATATTATTTGAATTTTTTAAATGAGTTTAGGTTTTGATAATATTTGTGTTTATGATGACGGAACTTCGTATGGTTGTTTAGGTCAATTTGAGTACGATGGGCTCAGGAAAGATTTTAACAAGATTAACGAAGAAGTCGCCAAATTAAAGATTGTAAGTGTTATGATTGATTTTTTTACTTGGGACTTTGTTGTTCATGTTCAAACCAAATTATAGAGAACGTTTTAAACTGAATATCTATATGGTTGTATTGTATGTATGGATGTATGGATGGATGTATGTTGTGTATTTAAACTGAATCGTGGACAATTTATTAAACTTAAAATTTTGCACTATTGTGTTTCATTTGAATTTTGGTAAAATGGGCTTTCTTAGTTTGAATTTCATTACATGTAAGCATTTGAATTAATTTTCAACTCTTTTTAAAAAAAAAAAAAATTTAATTTTTAAATACTGCAAGACATGAAGAAAGTAGTAAAGTGGGACTGTAGAAAATTTGAATTTGGGGTTGGACACTGGTGATTAAAAACTCCATTGATGTGAGGATGAAAAAATTGGAAGGAAAGATATTAGAGTTGGAAACTCTACCTCTCGGGCAAGAGGAAAGAGTAAAGACTAATTGCTTACCGTTCTTATGTTTGGTTTAGATGAGAAGGAAGGAAAGAAGGGAAAATGTGTTCTTTGATTTTTTCATTAATCCATGGGAAATAAAAAATAAAAAAAAAAGAGCTGATTGTTTTGGAGGATAAATGCCCAGAAGGGAGGAAAGTCATCCCCCTTTTTTCCACCCACTTTTGGAGGGAATGACTTGGTTAGCCTGGAGGTATAGTGCTTCCAGACTCTATTTCTTCTCCCTCTGTTCCTTCCAACCAATTGGACTTTACTGTTTTGAAGATGGGTTTATCAGCATGGTTGACGAATCAAATATTGGGGTTAACTGTCCTGCTAATGACCAGTCTATTTGTGTTCTTGTTGTTTTTATCCTCCATCATGCCCTTTACAGAGTCAGTTGTGGTAGGTATCTAAGCATCCATTAGTTAAGGGGGTCAGGGGGCAAGGCTCAAACTGCACTTTAGTCTTCTCGTAAATTGGATGGAATGAGACACATGGGTTATGTTATCTATATGAGCTTTTTTTTCTCAAAAATCTACACAGTTAGATAGGACTTTTGGACATTGGACGCCAGAGCTGTCCATGTTTTATTTTTCTAAATTTCATAATTTCGTACCACAAATTGGATGTTGGAGCTTACAGATGATGGTTGTTTGGTTTAGAAATGAATTTAGTAGTTTCTACTCAATGTAGAAATTGACATTTTTTTTCTTTGCCCTCGGGTCTTGGGATTTTAAACAGTCTGGTGGAGATGCTAGTGACGTGATTAGAAGTACCGAGGAGAATCAAAAATTGACAGCAGAAAAAGAAACAGAAGTTCAAGAGGCTCGAGCAGCCACGTATTCAAAATTGGAAATAATTGGAAACCTTGTACATGATTCAGTTCCAGTTGACAATGGTGAGGTATGGATGGAATTTTATTTGTCTTAAATTTATGAAAAAATGGGTCCATTATTTTTTGCTTTGATTAATTTTGTAGGCAAATAATGCCATAATTTGATCTTGGGATGAGAAACGGTTAGAACTCAAATTGAAAAATCATGTTGACCTTGTTGAGCTTCTTGGAATTGCAGATATAAAGGTATTAAGTTGGATGTTTGCTTTATCTGGTTGTTTAAGAAAATGTTCCTACATGATGTTAAGATGATTAAAATGTGAGTAAATGTCATATTACCCCCAAACTATGACTAAAATGTCAATTTGGCCCTTGTCCTGTAAACAATTTTACACCTAAGCTATTCTGATTTGGATCAATGTGACCTTTGCCATCACATGCTGTCTATAATCAAACAAAAATCTTTATTTTACCCCCCAAACCCTCTGTTCAGGGTCTAATTGAGTTTTAACGGATAGTTTGGAGGGTAAAATGAAGGGATTCCGTTTTATTATAGACGGCAGGTGATGACATGAGTCACATTGATCAAATTGAGAATAGTTTGGATGTAAAATTGATATATAATATAATTAAAAGGACAGGGTCAAATTGTTTTTCCAGGGATAGTTTGGCGGTAAAATGACATTTGCTCTTAAAACATACGAGTACCAGCTTGAACTGCTGTGTAATCGAGGCTGTGTTTTCACTCTATTGTAATGTATTGTGTTGACTATAATGGTTGATCGGAGGTGTAATGTCTTTTAGTTGCTTGTAGATGTAAATATTTAAATACATAGCAAAAAAAAATATACTTTTTTTTTTGTTGTATTCATTCTGTGTTTGTATCCGTGCTTATTAGATTCTCTCATATGCAATTCTTTTATAATTATGTGTTATTAAGTTCATTAGGATGCTAATGCAAATGTTCTCGAAACATCTAGGTGCTGGAGGTAGGGGTTTCTATTTGAAAGGAGATGGTGTATGCCTTAATCAAGCTCTAATCAATTTTGGTCTTGATTTTTTGGAGTAAAGGGGGTACACTGCATTGCAAACTCCATTCTTCATGAGGAAAGATATCATGGCAAAGTGTGCTCAGCACAATTTGTTGAAGAACTTTACAAGGTAACATATGCAATGTTTTTGAGATCATTAGTATATCAAGTGATTGCAAAAATATATATGCTATCAAAGTCCGTGAAACATGTATGAAGATTTATCGAGTTCAATTCAATTCAAACCAAATTTGAATTGCAGAATAAAGAAATAAATCGTTGCATTGAATGACTAGGGCTGTGCAAAGAATTTCTCTCCATGGGATTGTTCATTTCTTGATGCTTCAAATTGTATCTATTGAACTGTATCTTTCAAATGAGATTTATAGGCAAGGGTTTGTGTATTTAGCTTTTTTTGCTTAACAAAATGTTGGTACGCTTCATAGAAAGGTTTGTCTTGTAGCAAATGAAGCTGGAAGCATGCTACTTGAAAATACTTCTCCTGTGATTTTAGTTCACCTTAATAAGAGGATGCCTGATTAGTTAATTTTTTTACAGTTAACCGGTGAAGGAGATGACAAATATTTGATTGCTACTGCTGAACAGCCACTATGTGCTTATCGTCTAGATGATTGGATACTTTTTCCACAGCTACCAATAAGATTATTTACTTCCATGAATTGTAGTTGCCTACTGAAGAATGTTGGAGCATGGACACAGATATGGCATGATATGAGCACACTGACAATTTTTAAAAAGATATGACATGACAACAAATAAATATAAATATTTTTATATATACATGAAAATGATAATGACTTCATTTTTAATAAATAGTAGGACATGCTTGGACATGTGTCTGGTATGTGTTGGGAGTGTGTCCGACGAGTGTCTGCGTTCAACGTTGAACATGGGCACAGCACATTTTTAGAAGTGTTTCTGCTTTTTAGATGGTGGCTTTTATGTTTTATTTTTTGGGTTATAAATCTTTAGTGGCTGCTTTTTGTTGAATTTATGTTGGATGAATTACCAGATTGCTGGATATTTGTCTTGCTTCCGCAAAGAAGCAGGTTCTCATGGTCGTGATACTCTTGGGATTTTCCGAGTTCACCAGTTTGAGGAGGTGGAGCTGTTTTGCCTTACTAGTCCAAGTGGCAATGACTCTTGGGACATGCACGAGGAAATGATAACGAACTCAGAGGAGTTTTACAAGATGGTATAGAGCTTTGCTGCTCTCAGAATTCTAGGGGAACGATGTGTATAATTTTTGGTTATTTCTTCGTTATATTAATTTTTTTTTGGGTTAGATTACTAATACATTTCGTGAGATTTAATTAAATTACGAATCACTCTATGTGGTTTTAGAAATTACATTCTATCCCCTGAGGTTTCTAATTTCATAGCAAATTACCCATTTTATTAATAAATCATCAAGTCAATTAACAATTTTAATGATGTTAGAAATATATTTCGATTAATAATTTAGGTAATTTTATTATTGTATAGGAGAGAATTTCATTTTTTTTAGCTAATTTTGTTAAATAAAAAATTCTGACAGTGGGATATTTGTAATCTTTCAAATCTCAGGGACGATTTGTACTTTAAGTAAATCTCAAGATGTGTATTTGTAATTTATCCTCTTTTTTTAATTTATTATCTGGAGATGCTTGATAATGTTTCTTATAGTACTCATATAGATTATATTGCCAGGTTTTGTAATGTCATTTAAGATCAGTGATTTTGGAATTGGTTGTTTGGTCAATGCTAGAAGTCTGCCACTTGACGCAAAAAAAAAAAAAAAATGCAAGGTCCTATATATGGGCCCCTGCTGATGACGAATTAATTTTTCTCTATTTAATTATGTATTTTTCTTTCCTATAAGTATGACATAATTCTCTCTATTGCAGCTAAAACTACCCTATCAAATTGTGGCTATTGTTTCTAGTGCTTTGAATGATGCAGCTGCAAAGAAGTATGATTTGGGAGGATGGTTTCCTGCATCCAGCACTTACAGAGAACTTGTTTCTTGTTCAAACTGTACTGACTTTTAGTCCAGGAGATTAAGTTTCGATATTGACAGAAAAAGGTAGATGTTATTATGTTTTTTTATAATGAAGGCTCCCAATTCTCCATTAAAATATTGATATATCCTTATGCAAATGTGGGTGAGTAAAACAAATGGATTCATTCATACATCAACGTGGTAAGAAAGAAACTGAATTGATTCATTCAATATGTTCAACTTGTGTCAATAGAAGATGCAACTCCTCTCCACAACTTGCTGTCACTTTTTTGAGGTTTTGGTTGATGGATTGTGGTATAAATGCTGTTTCTTTGCAAATGTGTTTGCAGAGCAATGAGCAGGCTAAGCAGGTTGTTCACTTGTTGAACTCTACCCTCACAGCAACAGAGAGGACTATGTGCTGCATCCTTGAGAATTACCAGAGGGAAGATGGCGTGGAGATACCAGAAGTGCTGAGAGAGTACATGGGTGGAAAGACCTTCCTGCCCTTCCAGATTGCACCAGTGAAAGAAGCAAAAGGGAAAAAAATCAAAGGCCTGATACCGGAGAAATTTTATTTCCACATACCTAGTTAGCTCACGGCACACACATAATGAAATATTAATTTAATGACAGTTATATTCTAAATAAAAATGACCATAATAGAATATTATATGAAAAATTTTCTATACACAAAAAAATGGGCAAATTACAAACATCCCCCTCGAGATTTGGTGAAAATACGAATTTCCCCCTGAAGTTTGAGAAATTACATCCCACCCCTTGAGGTTTATATTTTCATAACAAATTGTCTCTTGAAATTTTTATTTTCATACAGATTTTCTCTTAATTTCTCCTAATTTGTTATGAAAATTTAACCTTCAGGGGGCAATTTGTAATTTTTCAAACCTCATGGAGGAATCTGTATTTTTACCAAACCTCGAGGGGGTGTTTGTAATTTGTCCCCAAAAAATCTTAATTTACACCTTTTGAGTTTAAAAAAAGTAAACTCTAGTTTTCCATTATTATCACATTGATTGTTATACACTCTATACTCCTCTATTGCTTGCAAAACAATACTCTCAAAACATCTCTCATATTGCCTTAATCTCTAAGTTTATACTTTATTATTTATATCATTTTCGTATTTAGTTTCACTATTTTTACTTGATTTTGATATGGAAGAGTTGCAAACTAATGGAAGTTCGAACTCAAGCAACAAATAGACAACTCAACATTTGGATTCAGAAAAATTATGAATGCACCCATTCAAATTTATCCATGTAAAATAAACACTCAAAATAGATTTCACAAAATAGGTATCAAAATCCTCTAGAGTGAAACCCTGAAGTGATCTCTTAATGTGAAAGATCGAACAGCTTAAAATAAGACTCACCAAAACGACGTTATTTTGGTGAGTAATTTCAAAAAAAAAAAAAAGCAGTTTTAATTCAAAATATCGATGTTCTACCGATATGAAGCATTACACACACACACACAGAGAAAGAAAAGGGCTAAGAGAAGGAGCTCTTTCGATGTGTAGCTGTCACGCCGCTGCTCGCCATACTCCAACAGATTGAAGGAAAAAAGCCATGGGTTCGTTCGTTCTCCAAACTTAAAGTATTAGGGTTTTGATTCCAAAAATTAGGGGAAAAAAGCAGATTGAAGGGTTTTCTTTGAAGGCATTTGTTGTTTAGGCGATTGGTTGTTTAGATACGTAAAAATGAGCTATAATCTGAACTTGGCTACCTTTGTAGAGTAAAAATCTGAACTTCAAAGGCAGTATTTCAAGTACCAAAAAATATGTTTTTAGGGTTTTGATTTGGGATTTTTTACATGAATGCTTCAGAATCAATTCTGTCATCTTGCTTTGATTTCTCTGTGGTCATATGAATTCGGTCATGTGGTGTGCAATGTCCATATAGGGTACTGTTAAATAGGCAAAATAAGCCAGAAAAATGTGTTTAGCTGAATATATATTGTGACTTCCTTATTGGCTATAGAAAGATGCAACAAATGTTCCAAAGTCAGTTTTTGCCGTTTCACTTTGACTTCTCTGTGGTCATAGAATCAATCATGTGAGTTTCATTCAATGTTGTTTCCCTATATGCTTGGTGTCAATATAGGACATTGTCGAATAGGAAAAAAGAAGATAGAAAAAGGCATTTGGGTGAGTTTTATAGGACATTGTTGAATAGGAAAATAGAAGCTAGAAAAGGCCTTTGCTTTGGTGAATTGATTGCAACTAGGGTTGCTTATTGAGCACAAGATATCGGCATTTCTTTTGGTGGCTTAATTGATTACAACACGAGTTGCTTCTTTCTTCTATCTTTTTCTATTTGAAATTATCCTGCTGCAGAACTGGGCTTGGGAGTTTATGTGTTCTCTAAATGGGTATGATATGTTTGCTATATAGTTTTGGTACTCTCTTGGTGATTTCGTAGAATATTGCTGGAAAAATATTTCTCCTGAGTTGCTGCTTTATCGGTTGGTAAAGGAAAATTATTTATATGATTTATTTAAAATTTATTCTTAGAGAGTCGATTTGAGTCCTGCTCATTGTTGTTAGATCTGTTTGTTTTATTCACCCAAAAAATCTGTTTGTTTTATAAATTTTCAATTCAATGCCTGTAATTGTTTTGTTGGAAACATAAAATTTATTATATGTTTTATTATACTGTTTGTATATTAGAATTATGTTTTGTACAATATTCTTGTTTGATATTTTTTGAAACTGTTGGGTTTCAATTTATTTTTTTTTTTACATACTGCAATTGTGAAATTTATAAATTTCAGTGCACTTGTAGTTAAACAGATATTTGTGTGTTACGTTTTTTTATTGCAGACAAAAACAAATTTTAATTTTGTTTATAGAGTCATGCGTAAATATTGTTGTTCCATTGTTGTTCTATTGTTGTTCCATTATTGTTATTTCAGGTAAAAAAATGCCAACATCAAATGCATTTATGAGTGATAGTAGTGAAATTCAGTATAGAAATCGAAAATGTCGTTGCGGGCGAGAGCAGCATTCAAGATTTCAGAGTCAAAGGAAAATCCAGGGATGGTATACTTTGCCTTTACATAAACAACGTCAATGGTTGAAGATGGTAAAGGAGGAAAGCGACGAAAATTGTAATATCAACCATTTGGTCAACGAACTAATTGTATCCGATGGTGAGCTGAAAGAGATGGTTACAAAGTTTAAGAAATAAAGTAAACAAATGGTTATAGAGATTAGACAATTTTGAGAAAAATTACACTACGCCATTGTAATAGTATTAATTGGATTTTGACTTCTTTTATTGTTTAGATATTAAGTATAAATTAAGTTCGAATTTGGACTTCTTCTTTTGTGAACTAAATATTAAGCTAGGTTTGGCATACCCTAAAAAAGTCAAAAAGTCACTATCCTATTTAAGTTACATCATCTTATTTAAGTTATATCACATCTCTACCACATCACTTCAAAACCAACCCATATTTCATAACAAGTTTAAAAGTGCACTCATTTAGAACATTTCAAACAATCCCTTAAGTGTAAATTAAGTTGGTGGTTGGCTTGAAATGCATAATGTTGTAATGTTGATTGTGGAAACCAATACTTTGATAAATGAGTTAGATTATATTAGCAAACCTTTTGAAGTGCTCAATTGATATATATAAAATGGTGCTTTGAAAGAATGGTTGCTTTTTGTTTGTTTGGGTTATTCGATACATCATAGGTTTACATATATCTTCAGTGGAGGGAGGCTTTTGTAGAACACTTGAAATTTGGTTTGGGACCATTTCAGTAACATGTTTGAGCAACATTTCACCAAAAAATCTAGCAACAATTCAACTAAAATTTCAAAAAAAAAAACTGCAAAATTTCATCAACATTCAACACAAATTTTAGCAACAAAATCTGGATTATTTCAACCAAAATTCAACACCATTTTAGCAACATGTTTGAGTAACATTTCACCAAAAAATCAACACCATTTTAGTTATGTTGTCATTTCAAAACAATAGAAATACAACTCAAAATACTCCAATGATCAAAGAACACAACAATATTTTCTACATCCATATAAAAAGTTTTCAATATTACATACATGAACACCATATCCAACAAAAAAAATCAACGCTAAGATATTTACATGTGATCCACATGTCCATGCCCATGACTACGCCCACAAGTGGCAGGGCTCTTTAAATGAAAAATATCCACATATAGTATATGAAGAACAAGCTATTGTAATAGAAGATGAGGGTCCAAACAAGCTATCGTATTTTGTTTAGAAGATGACTGTAAATACCTATATTTTTTCTTCAATCGACTAGAGCAAAGGCTCGGCGGAGGTAGGACGACGAGGACAACGATGGGGTGATGGCTAGACGCCAGCACTCCCGCCTCTCTTCTTCTCTCTCTCTTGCACTCCCACCTTCTACTTCTGCTATACCTACGAGTATACGAAGGAAATTTTGAATTAAAGCTGATTTTATTTTATTTTCAAATTATTAACCAAAACGATGTCGTTTTGGTTAGTTTTATTTTTAACCGTTGGATTCTTTCGTCGTTTTGGTTAGTTTTATTTTTAACCGTTGGATTCTTTCACTTTAGAAGATCACTTCAGGGTTCCACTCTAGAGGATCCTGATACACAAAATAGTATAGAAATTCTCAAAGACCAAATATATATATATATATATAGAAATAATAATTGAAACTGTTCTGTATTTTTTCCTTATTTTTATTAACAGAATCCATTCCTCAATCTGCATTCTTCAATTATTTTTTTTTCTTTTACTCACTTTCTTACACTTTCATATCTACTCTTTGTGAGAGAATTATTGTAAAAGTTGGTTCAATTACCACTTATTCTTATTCCTTATTTTTGTGAGAGATTTTGTAAGGGTAGGGCATTTATTGTTGAGTGAGGCTCAATAGATAAGAGTAAGTCCTGTGCCAAATCCACAAGCTTGGTGGTGTATTTATTCAATTGATAGTAAAGAAATTCTCAAGGAGGTTCCTTGGGGAGTGGACGTAGGCCTGGCGTGCCGAACCACTATAAATAGCAGTGTTTGATTTTCTCTCTCTATCTCTTCTACTTTTATATTGTTAATTGTTATTATGTTTTTTTTATTTATTAAAATTCTGAATATTGTGTTATTTTTAATATTGTGAAATTTTTAATAACCCAATTCACCCCCCTCTTGGGTTGCCTATCTGGGATAACATTCCTTATTTTTATTAACAGAATCCATTCCTCAATCTGCATTCTTCAATTATTTTTTTCCTTTTACTCACTATTCTTTATTTTTTCTTCACCCCTTTATTTCTTTTTTCCTTTCCTTTTCTTTTCTTTTCTTTTCTTTTTCCTTTTTTTTTCTGTACCCTTATTTTATTTTATTTATTTTTCTTCATTTCCATTAACCTTGAGTGGCCTCTCTCTTCTTTTTTTTTTTTTTTTTGGGAGTGGCCACGCTAAATGCCTCTTTCCTCTTTTTATCATGCAAAGAAATAGGGCAAGTGGCCTTTTTCTTGCAAACCATAAAACCATTTTTATCAGATTTTCATATCTTTTGGGATCATCAAATTAATTATGTGTCTTTCTCTCCAACATTCCCTCCCCTCCAACAATCATTCAACGGTTTATTTAAAGACCATAGCTAGTAGTAATGATCATTCAATAGAGTCTCTTTAATTGTGTCCTCAATGGAGGTCTTCAATGGAATGGAGGTTTTCAATAGAGCAAAGTTCTTCACTGTGAGTCTCGTAGCACTGTGAGCTTACAAATTTCCAAACTGTAGTGGTAGCAGTGTGTGTGGAAGGATGGTTGAAGGGGTGTGTGTATAATGGTACGAGTGAAAGCTATAATTGATACATTTAGTGCGTAGATTGAACAATTAATTAATAATTAAATTATAAAGTATGTGTACTGAGAAATTATGTGAATTGAGACAATTAAGTATGTGGAAATAAAATTTCCCTTATATCGTGCTGGTACACATTTAAAAGATTTGATGTGTTGTTTACCAATGCCTTGAAAGAGATACTGTTGTAAGGTGATACGATTTTCTAATGATTGAATGTTACTGGAATGCTGCAACTCAATTCATATTGCTCCGGTTTTGGATTTTTCGTAGTAGTCTTTAAGGTTGGAAACTGTAAGAGGAGCTAATTTGAGCCCACTAAATTAATTAGGCCTAATAGTCCAAGGTTGGTGGGCTCGAATTTATCGCAAGTCCAAAATTAGTGGACCCGGATTTATCGCCATCAAACGAGCTGAATCGTTCTAAGCCTCGAAAAGGTTCGAATCTATGAACTTAGAGACTTACCCGGGCCCGGACTCAAAAGGGTATTGAGCAAGCCTAGAGATCCGAGGCACTTGGACTAGAAAGGGTTCGGATCCACGAACCTAGAGATTCGAAGCACTTGGCTTCGAACGGATTCATACGCAATCTAGAAGTCGCTCCGTTAATGAGTCCCAGAACACTTGCGGGCTCGGAGCTTTCCGGGATCTACACACCAGAACCATGGGCGTAATGGAGTTCGAACAAAGGACCCGATCCCGAGGACGGTGAATGAAGATAAAAATTCACTCTTCGGTTAAACTAGCCTATACCCGGGTCCAGGTGGCACGATCTAGGGGGTCCCTGAGACTCGACAATATTTGCAGCAGGGCATTCTCTTGAACTACCCCTGACCCTTATGCGGCAGGATGTCCTCTGGGACTACCCTTGACCCTTTAGGATGATTGGGGATCATTGGTTAGGTGTAGTTAAGAAGAAGGGTTCGCCGAGAGGTTGATCTCTTCTTCGGGGTTTTCCTCATCTTCGGAGAGGTCACCTCCTCGGACAAGGTGGTTAGAGAGAATATTTCTCATGTGCCTTGTACATGGGCTCCATCCTATATCATGAGGTGCCTATAAATAGCACACATCCATAGCTTTACAAGGGATAGATTTTACAGAGAAAACTCTTGGGAAAGAACTAATTTCCCTTCTACATTATCAACCTTGAGAGTGAAAATGGGAGATCCATGGGAGAGCCTTGCCATTATTCTTTTCTCTAGCTACTTTGCCTTCTTCTTCACCCAATCTCTTTTCTTCATCATCTCCGTTACTCTTGTGTTCCTAAGTTGAGACTATTGAAGAATCTAAGCCTCTCATCATCTTCTAGAGACTTCGAAGTTGTTCTTCAAGGATCTTCGAAGGTCTTCGAATTTTTCAACGACGTTCTTAAAATTTCTCATACATTTGGCGACTCTGTTGGGGAGGCGGATTGGTTAATGGTCTCAACGAGATCTGGAATTCATACAACACTGACAAAAATTGCAGATAATGAGACTCATCAACAAGGCTCTTCCAATGGTGGTGATGAAATGACTCAAGTTCAAGACTCACCTCTCATCCTTGAAGCCATTCAAGAACTCCAACACAAAGCTTGCCTAGTACTCCGAGCCAAAACAATAGCTAGTTAGTAATCAATGCATGATCCTAGCTATGTTAAGATGGCTAATGCAACACATGCAAAATGTAACTAGAAATAGGCTCGGTTATTCTAAAATGGCATATGAAATGCAACTTGATAATCATGTATTCAAGTCGGAATTGAAATACAATGCAGTTAGTATAATGCGCCGAGCCCGGTGCATGCAATACAGATGAATAATGCAAACATGCATAGCCTAAGGATGCTAATTGAAATATGACCTAAAACTAACCATTGTGAGCGGTTAAGTAAAAAGGAGAAAGACGTGGGGTTGGAAGACATTTATACACTCACGCACACTTATTACAAAATTCGCCCTCTCAACGGAGGGTCCGAATAAATAATACAAGCTAGCTACGCTAAGTTATTCTAACTAATCTAATAATCTAATTAGACTAATTATTACAACACCAAAACTAATTAACTAACAAACTAATTAATTATTACAATCCAAATTGGAACAAATAGCTACACTAAGCTAAATGAATATTACAAAACCAATTAAATGATTAAATTACACTAACTAATCACGAATACTGAAATGGCCTTGCAGGCGATGAAGAGATGTATGCTCGGTCGGCTTTGCTTGGAAATCCGTTGTCATACCTCATGTTGCCTCGGTTTGCACTGTTTTAGATTGCTGAAAACTGTGCCAACTTCTTAAACACTTTTGATCCACCTCATGGATATGCTGAGAGGTCATCGGCCAAGAGGTAAGGCCATCGGCCAAGAGATGAGGGTCATCAACCAGTTTTTAGTCCATCGGCCAAATATTGTTAGCCGATCGGCACTGCAGATAACCGATCGGCCATCTTTCTTGCAGACTGCTCCTTTTTGCTGCAGCAGAGGACAAACAAGGGCATGGCAA